CCTTCCCATTAGGGGCTTTGACTTGCAGGCGCTGTTAACCTATGGGAAATGAGCGGTGCTGAGGAGTTTGATGAGGAGAACCAAGAAAATTGCAAGAAAAGCTCAAACGTTGGCTTGCACAGCGCTAACATCTGGATTCTGATCCCTGGGGTCAGATAACTACCAACATATCATAACTGCGCCTTCTGTATATATATATATCTATATATAATATTGTCTAACGTTTGCAGACGTGTTTGTCTGCAGTTCAGGCTCCCAAGGTACCAACTGCCTTGTGCAGAGCACGACATCATGGCTTATATTTACTGCCTTCCAGGACACACTGTGGCAGGAAGGTTGCCAACTAAATCAAAGCATCACATAAATTCGGATTAAATAGTGTACGATCCTTGGAGATGTGGGAAGGAGTTGGGGGGGGTGGTGCGGGGGGGGGAGAGGGAATTCATCAAACGCCAGGTGTTTTGGGCTCTGACCTCCCGCTATATAAAAATAGACTCCGCCTGTCAACAAGCAATGAAAAAACACACACACAATGAGTGATTTGTTCTCATCAATTGGTACCAGAATAATTCAATAGACGGATTTTTCAGTTGACATCCTGTCACTCAGCAAGTGAGGAATCGTGTTCTCCTTATAGTGTACGTTCCTTGCAAAGTTTTGTCTTAATAGTAATAATAATCTTTGCATTTGATAGAGCACCTTATCACGTCATTGATACATCTCAAAGCGCTTCACAGAATATACAGTAAAGTGGATTGACTGTCTATTTTGTGGGTGAAATGCCTTTAAATAAGATACCACTCATTTCACTCCAAGTTGTCTTTCCCAACTCGGTCCTTACATGCGTAGTGTAGTCGCTAACATTCCACCAGGCACTGATGACAGCAAAAAATGAATGCCGTGTCATGAGCTTTTCCAATTTATGGGCACTTGTAATAGAGAAGTTCTTGTTCCTTACAATTCAATGGATTTTAATGGACTATATAAATTATGGAGTGCATCAACTTAATTAGATTTTAGATCAATTCAACACAGCATCTGTTTTATTTTCCTCCCAAATCCGGTGGTTACTAGGAGCCAGTACATCCTCTGGTGTGCATTACTGTATGAATATGATTATCCATAGCCTGATAACAGATTTGCTAACACAGGTGCAGAAAGCTATTAACAAGGCTAATGGGATGCTGGGTTTTCAGACAGAGCAAGAGGTATGGAATATTTTCGCCCACAAAATCCGCACAGTCGATGCACTTTACAGTATATTCCGCGAAGCGCTTTGACGAAGCCCTCGCGTTTGATACAGCGCCTGATCACGTTGTTGAGCCGTCTCAAAGGGCTTCGCAGAATATACCGTAAAAGTGAGTCGATTGTGTATATTGTGGGTGAAACGCGCCAGCCAATTGCGCACGGCAGAATGAATGAAAGCACGAGGGCACGGAGATTAACTCGAAAATATTTCTTTCGAACCGAATGCAGAAGAGCTGCAGAGTGACATTCAATGTAGTTCAGACTATTCACTGCTCCGAAACCTCAGGCTACTAAATTCCTTCTCCTTTCAGTCTGCCCTTTAAACTGAGGTAATTAACTTTTATGGTTGCCAAGGCTACTGGAATCCGAAAGGTAAATGCCATAAATCCTCATCGTCATAAACGCTTCTCACCAGCTATAGGTAGTTTTTTTTCCGAAAAAATTAACTCCTTAGATGCCGAATCTTGTCCAATCTTTTCCAGCCTGCTCCGCTGACCTGAGTCCCTGACCTCATGTAGTCTTGCTCCCGTGAAGCCCAACAGATACGTAGATTATAGGACCGTTGCTTAAAAGGGTAGTACTAAAAGTGAAGAGCAATACAGAGCGTGCAAAGAGAACCCGCTTCCTAAACCAATGGTACTGTTGGCCTTAATAAAAAAAGATGAATACCGAATAGTACCCCTCCCATTTGATAGAGCGCCTTTCACGTCAGGAGGACATCCCACAGCAGGACGTACTATAAAGTGCAGTGACTGTGTTTCGTGGGTGATTTCCCACAATTAATGTGAATTGTAGCACTAGTTTTAAGCAACGTTATTGCGATTTTTGGGGGGCATTCAGAACATTTGAGCTTGAAACACTCGTAATTTTGCATAGAAAGTGTTTATACAGCCTCCTTGGAGTGTGATTGTTTTCTTCTACATTAAGCACAGAAAGACCGGAGCAGCTATCTATGCAGCACACTTTGTTCATAACTATTTACAACGAAACCAACCATCCAACGGATCCGTGTTCAGTATTTGTTTGCCTTCAACGAGGTTGGGCAAGAATGCGGCTGATTCTCAGTGGTCAAATAATGGAGACAAAAGTGAAAGGCAAATGCAAAGATACAGTCCAATCTCTCCGCTGCTCAGTGTTTTTTTTTCCAAGCACCGACACAAACCAGCAGGACATTCAATTCAAGTCAATAGTTTCGCATTGACATTGCAGGTTCAATAAATCCTAAGAATGATTCACGATGGAATCACAAGTTAATCAGTTCAGCGAAAGTAATAGCACTCAAGGTTGTTTTCCTACCATCGCTCTCCCCAAACAACCGACCCACCAACCATAAGACATGAGTTGCATTTAAGTCAAATGCGTGTAAGTTGTAGGTAAGTCGCAGTTCCTCTTCAGAGATGCGGGTACAAATCAGTTCCACTTACTAATGAATCAGAAGGATATGGGGGGGTGGGGGAAGGAACCACATGAGGTCAATCAACAGCTGATAGGTTGACATTTTTGACCAAAGGTCCTCATCAGAATAAATCAGCCCACTTGCGACAACTGCAGATTTTCTCTTTTTCTTTCCGGTTAAAAATAGATACTTAGGGCTCGAGCGTCGCATTTTAAGCGATCAAATCAGTGAAATTCCGAAGCGTTTTCTAATCGAGCTCGCTGTCAAACCCGCCGCCGGTTGAATTTTTTTTTTCGTCTGAAATATCGTGGTCGGGTTCTGCATTCACGCGGAATAAATTGCTCCCGCGAACGTTGCCGTCGAACAGCATTTCGATTGGGGGGGGGTTTTGATAAAAAGGAAAGTTCTGTTCGATTTCATTTACCCGGTTTTCAATCCCGCAAAGATTACAGTGGAGCTATTCCGTTCCCTCGTTCTTTCAATCGTGAATGTTCTACACACGCATTAAGGGCGTTCAGGTTGACGTTAGGGGAATACCAGTGATACAATTAGAAAAGAGAAGGGAGTTTCTCCCAGTGTACTGGCTAACAATCTCTCGCTTCAATTTCGCCCACGAACTACAGAGTCAATCCACTGTACCATATATTCTGTGAAGCGCATTGAGATAATAATAATAATAATAACAATAATAATCCTTGCATTTGATATAGCGCTTTTCACGTCTTCTCGACGTCTCAAAGCGCTTCACAGAAAATGCTGTAGAGTGAATTGACCGTATATTTGCGGGCGAAACGCGGCAGCCAACGTCTCAACAATGCGATAAGGCTCCATATCAAATGCAAGGATTATTATTGTTATTAATTGGTTCTTTAGTTCATGGCTGTTTGGTGACATCCAGTTAATGTTAACCGTGTCCTGGTTTACATTCCAAAATGCTACAGAACTCAAAGGAATTTTCCTCCACCAGAGAAACATCCTCTTAACAGATGCCCAAAGTCCCATCTCCATCTCCAGTCTTCGAGTATTTTGTTGAGTGTTTTGCGGTCTTCATCAATTCAGGAAAGCCATGCAACTACAGCAACTTGCCTTTATATAGCGGGCCTTATGAGTCGTGGCTTTGTGTCTCAGAGCGCTTGAACAGCGAGAATGCCAGGACTTCAGTGCAAACTCATCTCCTAAGCATCCAGCTGCTTTGCCTTGTTTTCATCAACGTGAACAAAATTGTATCTGCCACAAAGACCAGTTAACACTCCCAGGCAACTGTCCTGTGCGAAGAACCGCTATATATAACTGCAAGTTGTTGTTGTAACGTCAGCTTTGCTTTGCAGTCACTGGGAATATCTAGGAAGAGTTTAATAGTAGCCTGTGTTTAACGAGCAGTAAGTAGGATTTCGGTTGTTAGTCGATTGGCAGATTGCTTTCCGGGGGTAATAATCCCTCTATCAGCGACTGTTTGTGGGACGCTGCTGTGTACAATTGGCTGTCTCATTTCGCCCACAAAATACACAGTCAATTCACTTTACAGAATATCCTGCGAAGCGCTTTGAGATGTTTTAATGACGTGATAAGGCGTTATATCAAATGCAAGGATTATTATTATTATTATTATTATATCCTCAACTAATTACAAGACTGATGGCTGATTTCTTTATCCATCTCTGGCACAGAGAACGTGCTGAAGTAAAGAGTAGTACGACACTCCTAATGCTCAGATCAGCTAACTCAGCACACAGACTGTTAATTGAGATGTAGATCTGCACAGCTCAGTCTCACACTGGGCAGTAGCTCCAGTTAGAATTGATCGTACACTTCATGGCTGTTTGCAGGACATTGCCGCGGGCAAACTGTCTGCCTGGAGAATGCACAGTCGTTACACTTCGGTAAATCCCTCCGAAGCGCCTTGAGACGCGTTCCCCGATGTGAAATTGCCAGGGCTTGTCGGAATTGCTGTAATTTTACTCTTTTGCAATATGTTCTTTCGACTCAAAGCCTGAAAAAAATAGCAGGAAGTTCAGCTGCGAGTTGCGATTTCAACACTGCGCCATTGCGCAAAGCTCTCTTTACGTTTGCAACACCCTACGACACCTTAAAAAGACTCTTTAAAGCGCTTTTGCTGTTCAGTGGGATGACCTGCATTTGCGTTACCTGCAGCAGTTATTACAAGCAGACGTGTTTAGAGGTGACCAGGTTAAGAGCAGGTTAGATCCCAGTGTGACTCCTGCGATGACTCAAAGCGATTGAAAGATAGAAGTGAAATGCTGGCGGATTAATGAAATATTGATAGTGGTGCAGACCTGAAGGAAATAAAACTCCACCTCTGGTGCACAAGGCAATAGAATTCTATGATTCTGTGTGGGTAAAGGCAAAGCAAGGCAGGAAGGAGCTGACCTCACTCGGCTCATGTATGCATGCAGATAGCTGATTAGCCACAGATGGAGCAGGCTGGTCTGTAGCTCCCCAGTCAGGCTGTCGACTACACTACGCTGAGCTGAACTGAACTGAACTGACTGCAAACAGCCCGTCCCTCTCACACGCAATGAAAGATGGGTGCACTGCCCAATGAATAAGACAAAGTCAACTGGGCGACAAGAAGGGAGAAAGCACCAAAGCAAAAAGCGCGCAGAAGATTAACTCGTTAAACATTAACAACGACCGAAGCAAAAGGCCCTGGAAGGAATAGTGAAGACAGTTCACGTGTGTGTGTGTGTGTGTGTGTGTGTGGAGTGTGTATGTATGAAGCCCTCTTTCCTGCCTGGTGCAAAGCAACTGCTGTCTTGCGTTGGGAAATCACACAGCGAGTTCCTGTATTGCAAGTCTCCAGGTCTGTTAAATAGCCGGCTAAATTCCTCCAGGATATTCTGATGAATTTTGATCGCCAAATTGAATCATTGTACCAGCATGAGCAGTGGATATGGCAGCCTAGAAGAAGACTACTTCTTTACTGCAAAGACTTCATTCTTCGGAAAACCCAAAGACAAGCATTTAGTAAAGGTAACACCAGTGAATTAAATCTATTGCCGACTTTCAAATCAATGAAAGCGAAGCTGCGTAAATTGCCAATTGTTCGGTTTATCGCTTAAAAAAGAAAAGTTGAGACAAACTACCGGGAGACAATCCTACTCTTTTTACTCAAGATTTAGTCTTATTTATCACATGCTCTAGGATGCTATCCAGCATAAGGGGTGGGGGGGGGGGCTACATAAATGTAAGTTATTGGAGGCGGTGTTGTTATTTCAGAGCCTGTGGAATATGACAGATTCCTTAATTCTCGAAGCCGTATTTGTTTTCAGTAACTTTCTTTGAAGGACCGCGGAGAAATGGCTGCACAGTTAACAGCGACAACTTGCATTTACATAGCGCCCTTCACGCGGGGCAGCGGCCCAGAGCGATTAAAACTGGATTCGACAAATTGCCAAATTCCGAATGCTCCAACGTGCTCCGTACGTAGAGCAACAGAGCCCCCCTACACGAGTGAGATTATTCGCTTTTGTGTGTGTAAAAAAAAGGCTAAATTCGCTTGTGTCCGGTTGCAAATGGCTCACAGATATCAGTTTGACTTCAGCGCCGAACCAATTTTGTTGAACCGAGTTGCGTTCTGCAGGAACTTTGTTTGTAAAGATATTCTTTTAAAAAAAATGCACAAGACACTCATTGTAGTTTTAGCGTAACAGTGTTTAGCTGTATCCCCGTTGACCCGTTCGTTCTTTCTTATTTTTCGCCATCACTGCAGAAAGACCATGCTTTGATCACGCTTTTCGTCATCTTCTCCCTCTCCAACCCCACTCCTCAGCTTCCCCCATTTACCCTCCTCCTTACCCACCGCACCCCCCACCTGCCACCCCGTCCACCAGCTCGGTTGCCCAGCCAACTTCCCAACCTGAAAGGCAAGGCAATATCTCAATGTAAATTATATTGTCAGTACACACATTGGTGTTTTTCTCAAGCGAAATTAAGTCGGCCAAACCAACGAGCTGAGATGCCGTTTGCTCTGTAGAAAACGCTTTGGGTCAAAAAACATTGTGACAAATTCCAAGCGGAATTGATGGAGAAGACTGCGGAGTGGGAGGGCTTGATTAAAATGGCGTTTGCTGGTGTAAATGGTGTGTAATGGTCTTAACTATTACCAAGTTGTACACACTGCAGCGTATAACACAAGATGCCAGGCAGGACTGATTTGGTTTAAAGGCTTTCAGTGTCGGTCATCAGAATTAGGCTCAGACTTCTTTTTTTCTACTCAAGCCGCGGAGAGAGCAGCGAGCGATTTACGATGAAAGATTCTCTGGAAAATGTCATGCCTGTGCTCATTTTACTAATGCAGATATACTCCTGAAATTGCATCGTAAAGAGATTGCTCGCTCGACCAGCCTTGGAAAGTCTTAAAACCTGCAATTACGATAGGACTCTGATTCCTAATCAGTATTTCGATGGAGTTTTATCTGCTGCCGTGTAAATCTGCTACAAAAATGCTTCAATTTAAGCGTCCAAGGAATGAAAACGCTAACTGAAGAGACCATATTTCTTATGCAGAATTGCTGTAGCGTGTTCTCAGTTTCAGCGACTCTGCACCAATCGTGCTATTAATAATAATAATCCTCGCGTCTTGATAAAGCGCCTGATCAACGTAGTTGAGATGTCTCAAAACGCTTCAAAGGATATCCTGTAAAGTGAGGTGACTGTGTATTTCGTGGGCAAAACATATTGAACGTGAACTGGCGCCAAAAGAGATATGGCAGTGTTTCCAACGCCTTTGAAAGGCGCTACACAAATGTAATTTGTTGTTGTTGTTAAGAGCTTGGAAAATATACACTGTGTTTTTAAGTTCACTCCTGTCAGGTTTACCTTTTTTTTTTGTGTGAGTGGGAGGGGGAGGGGAAGGGGGGAGGGTGGGGGTGGGGGGGGGGGGGGGGGGGGGAACGAGATTGGTTAATCATCCATTTTGAAAGATTTTACCCCTCCTGTTCTGTGACCATCCCAGCAATAACCCTGAGGCTGATACGAATTACGCTTGCAATGGGGGTCACGTCAATGGCAGACAATCATCGGCATTGTTTGTCGTTGCTGCATGTTGTGTGTGTTCAGGTCTAGAGCCACTGAGGCGTTGTGTACACTTGCAACCTTGTACGCATACATTGCACGTATTTGAGCCATTGATTGATGGCCGTTTCAACGTTCAATGACAAATGAGATTTTTGTCTCGGCAAAGAGTAGCATCGGTATAAAAACGAATGATGTGTCAGTGCCCGGATCCAGTCGCTGACATGTTTTACGTTTCATTAGTACGATTCCTGACAACAGTGAGCTTTTGCTTCCGCTTCCTTCTCCCCACTTCCGTGCAGTCACGTGTTTGAGAAATCCCCCCAAAAATTAATCAAAGAGACCCAGTACACCCCTAAAAAAAAAACCTTTCCAATGTTCTAGCAGCTTCAGGGTTTTGCGAATCTTTATCACTTGTTCTGAGTTTCATTAAAATTAAACAACTGCCTTCGCTGATAGGCTTTAGGTGACGTTCTTCATTCTTTGTTCACCCACAAAACGTACAGTCACTGCACTTTACAGTGAACCTTGTGAAGCTCTTTGAGATGCCCTCTGAACGTGAAAAGCATTGAATCAAATGTTAGTCTGGTCAAGCTGCAGAGATCAGACTTCCTTCCCCCACCCCCATCCCACAAATATTTATGGAGTAAGGGTATGAAGGGAGATGGGGCAAAGGCGGGTAATCGGAATTGAGATGCAGATCAACCGTGATGGCGTAACAGGCTTGAGGGGCTGAATGGCCTACTCCTGTTCCTATGTTGCACAGTGAGCAGGTGCAATACACACCTGTGCCTGTCTACCATCTCCCAGATTCATGTCTGCCAAACCACACTGGTCCCAAGTGTATCCGATCTAGCGGTGGAGGCAACCTCCACATTTCCCAGATCTTTTGTGCCAAATGTAATTGAAATGTAATTTGTTTTTTTTGCGTGCCCACACACAAACATTCTCAGCCGGGAAATGTGAGCCAACAGAGTACCTACCTACGCATCCAAGCTCGTGAAAAGCAATTCATTGTTAGGCGCAGAGCAGCTTTGTGCATTTAAGCAAAAACATTTAAGAGACTTGGATGGTATCTCGGTATACCAGGGCACCATTCCTTTCCTACATCTCAAGCATTCTTTGAATGCTGTGACATTTTTATGCTTATCTATTCAGCGCAGCACAGATGTGCAGACATACAAGCCAAGTGGCAATGGATTAGTTCACTTAAGCGACCGACAAAATAAGTCTCGTTCTGATTTTTATCCGTTTGGGATTTTCTTTCGGTTACGGTTTTTGTTGGTAGCATAAAAACAAAAGTTTTTTTTGTATACAGTGGGGGGGGGAAACGGTGTGTCGCGGGTATAGAATAGAGGAGGGGTATTGTCGAGAAATAAGACTTTGGGCTGAAGTTGCTAAATGATTAGGACAAAAGGCGGCAGCCTGCGGAAAAGATTAAGTGTGTTCGTTGAGGTTTAACAGGTTGTGAAATGCCGCTAAATGGGAGGAAGCGAGTTCCTGTGCAAACAATGGAGGTCCGCAGTGCGTCAGAAAGCCTACCCTGAAAACTACAGAACCTACTTTGATACTTTGAATGTACGATCTCTGCGTCGTTTTTTAGAAGCGGAAATTATAAAGGAAATACTGTTCCAACGAGAGGTTCGTTATCAGTGTCAATCTGCCTTCAGTTGGTATCATGTTCGTCTCTGAGTCAGAGGCTCGTGGGTTCAATCCCCACTTGGGAACTTTGAGCTGAAAGTCTAGGCTGACTCTCACTCCAAAGCAGTGCACTGTCAGATGTGGCTGGAAAGAGGGGCTGGTTTGGAGTGGGAATGGAAGTGAGTTGAAGTTTGAAGATGCCTGTGTCTGTCTACGTTCAGGCCTTTGCTCTGAACATATCTGAGGAAAAGATTAGGCGTTGCACCTGAGGTTTGCATTGATCTCGGTTGGAGTAGGACAGAAGATTAGAGAGTAAGTGAGAGCAGTTGTACTCTTAATGTACGATAAAAAAATTCAACGCTTATCATCCAAGTATAACGAGCTTGCACAAACTCTTACGTTACTCTTGTCTACGTGAATCTCAATGTCACTCACTTTCCTAGAATTTGTAAACCATAATAATGGCTGCCAAATTTTCATTACCATCCCCCAAATCAATCACCAAATCAGGCTCCAAGTCTCTGTCTCTGTGAAACAACTTTTGAGACATTTTCCTACATGCAACTAACTTGCTGTTGAACAGCATATCTGACAAACCTTATGAATAAGGGATTGATAGAACATTAATATTGCACAAACCGCTTCAACACAATAAGATGTTTGTGTTCAGGCAAACAAACTGCATTGCACATTGACTCCATTGGGTCACGAGCGTGGTTGAATGCAGCTATCTTAACTTTGCCAAAGTACTCAAAGATATAAAGGTATTGAACTGAAAACTTGGGGCTTTGGATCACAAGACTAGTTGGATGATCACAGTCATTTTAACAATTATATGTGTCCTGCAATGATCTTCTCGTCCACAAGTGAAGCTCACATCACAGCGATTTTTTAAAAAAAGTGTTAATTCTACTTTATTCTAAGTAGGACAGGAAGTTTAGGTTGTTTTACTCCCAATCTACATTTAATAATAATAACCCTTGCATTTGATATAGCGCTTTTCACGTCTTCTCGACATCTCAAAGCGCTTTACAGAATATACTGAATTGACCGTATATTTGTGGGCGAAACGCGGCAGCCAATTGCGCACAGCAGTGTCCCACAAACAGTGGTGGGTTGAAAATAACCAATTTGTTATTGTTTTTGTTTTTTGGAGGGATTATTATTAGGCTCTGTGTGGAGTAAGGAAACTTGCCCAAGGTTTCGCCCTCTGCCGGGAATTGAACCCAGGTGTCTTGCATGCAAGGCGTAGACTCTAATCACTGAGCTACAGGACTCCAATCTACATTTAGCTTTCAATTTTTTTGCATGAGTTT